AACAGTTGTCTATAGAATTTAAAACAAAAAACCCCACCACATTAAAGAAAAGGGACCCCAAAAAAAAAATAATCAATGCTATTTGCAAAAGCAGGTATGGCAAAGGGGATAAGGGGATGAAAGACTGATCCATGAAATGCAAAAAACCCCAGTTTCTCTGTTACTATCTGGACCACTTTAATAGTGCTCCTTTATCCAAAATGCAGTAATTCATCAAGAAAGTAAACCTGGTCCTATTTGGTACCAAGTAAAACCATCTACTTAACCCCAGAAAGTAACACCTTCAAACAAAGCGTGCTGTGCTTCTCTTGAAGAGACAGAAGTCAACTCAAAAAGCCCTTAATCTAAGAGGGGTTTGCAAGAGGGAAGCCAGTGTATCCCCAGGACTCTTGAGTCACAAGAGAGCTGTGGCCTCTCTATGCCCCTCTCCTAAATCATGACTGCAGCCAGTGAGCAGCACAAGTGAAACCAAATGGTGATGCACAGCACATTGCCAGATGCACATTAATCTCCCAACACTGTGTGGACAACCAGCAAGCCCCAAGACTCCTAAATCCAGGACACTGAGACAAGCAGGAACCTTCCTTATGCTAATACTTCAGTGCCATGTAAAGGAGAGAAGAGCAGCCTCCCTTTCCAGAGATCCCTTTGGCTCCCAATAAAGTTAGTTACGCTAGCCATAATAGCTTTGTTTTACATCTTGTGTGTAATATAATATTGGAAATTGGTCTGCAGTTATGTAATTGCAAAGGAAATGGCTACGGTCCTGCTCAGCCCAGGCGAAAACACCATCCCACGATGCCTCCACCGCAGACGGGGCTCCTGGAAGCTGCAAGCAAAGACCCTGTCCTGCCTGTAAGTGGAGCAGCAGCAGAGGCAGAGGTGCTCAGGAGTATGCTTATACTTCACCGTCTGTCAGGTTTTCCATTACAAACACTGCCACCACAGTTTATTGCTTGACTGCTGCAAGCCACATCCATGCAAATCTTGGCAGAAAGGGAGCTGCTCTGGCCCAGACCCTCACCCTTCTACCTTAAAGAAATCTGTGTCAGATTCCTGCTTTAAAGTCAAAACACTTATTTTCTGCAGCAGAAATACATTTTTAAGTCACTCCACAAGGCTTTTGTGGTTAAGCTTTAAAAGAAGTCTATATACTAGACAAGACTTGAGTCAACTATTTACAGTTATTCTGAAACAGCTCAGAGATGTTTAATAGCATTGGATGGTGCAGGTTGGTTACACAGTGCATTTAAACAAATCACAGTCACTTCCAACAGGGAACACAAGCCCTGTAACTACAGCCTGTTCCCAGACACCATCTGGAGAGACTGTAAACCTTATTTTTTCTCCTGATGCATTTGTGACCATTGCTACCTGCAGGTTTTCCTTCACATCTAAAGAAGAAAAGAAAAAGATACATATCCATCAGATACATCAGGCACACTGTGGGTCTTCTGCTCATGCACCAGAATTCAGAAGAAGGTCTGACGGACAATTTTTGTTAAGTCAATATAGGTATTTGCTGCAAAAACCAAGTGTCAAAGTCTGAGAGCTGATACACTACTAAATTTGTTCTAAAGGTTAAAAATCCTACAGATTCATGGCAACTGCAGCAACAGTTGGGTTACAACAACCGACAGGCTTCATAACCAAGAGGAAGGGTTTCAGAAATTATAAACCACACATGCTACACTGACCTTGTTTTTAAGTCATAATACTGAACAGAAGTTGCAACTTGAAGTGATGTCCAAGTCATAACTTTCATTGGCCTGACAATGAAGACAACCTTATGCAACTCTTTCAGTGAAAGAGAAAACTAAGCATGAGAAAAGGCCCTACTAGATGGGTTTGCACATGTCTTGACTTCAAGATGTCTTAAATCCCATCTCTGATATGGGAAGAGTAACACTGAATAATAACACTATACAGTAAATGCAACACACTTTTACTTAAGATGAAGTTAATGTAACTTGATGATAACCAGATAAGAATTCAATAAATCAAATGCCAGATTTTTTCCTTCTACCTCTGCTCTATACATTAGCCTTTGAAAGCAGAGCATACTTCCTTCCAGGGAGTACACAATTTGGAGGCAAACATCAGAGGAGATGGTAACTCTAGCTCAGCCCCTAGAAGTGTACAGAAGAAAACATTCAGCAGG